GAAAATTTTATTGGGATGATATTAACCGCTTACCCGCCGCCGTTTAGCAGATATACTACTACAGGGCGGCACGGATGCGCACAATCTCGTATACATACGTGACTTTGCATTTCTGGGTAAGGGGCACGTGCCCTACCTGCGCTGCCATTCGCGCCCATGGATGTCAATCACCAGGTCCCGGCTGGTGATTACCCGCCTGTGCCCTGCGTTTACTGACAATCACTGACAGGGAGGACGACTGTTTTGTTTACAGACAGTCTTCCTCCCTGTCAGCTTGGGCACACTGCACAGCACAGCCATCCCCATATATACGTGATTTTGCATTTCCAGGTAGGGGGCACGCGCCCCACCCACGGCCGCAGATGTCAATCACTGGGTCCTGGCAGGGGATTACCGACAATCACCAACAGGGAGGAAGACTGTTTTGTGTTTACAAACAGTCTTCCTCCCTGTCAGCTCGGGCACACAGCACAGCCATTCCGATCAGTGTGCTTACAGTGAAGCACCCCCCCCCCCCCGCGCCCCTATTAAAACACTTCCTACACACAGGTAACCCTTTGATAGACCCTCACATTAGCCCCTTCCTGCCCAGTGCCATTAGTACAGTGTTTTTGGTGCTGTTTTTTTTAGCACTGATCACTGTATTGGTGTCACTGGGGATGTCAGTGGCAGTCAGTTCCCCCCCAAAGTCAGAATGCCCGCCGCAAAGTGCTAAAAGTCACAGATCACCGCCATTACTAGTAGGAGAAAAAAAAAAAATCCCAGTATCTATACCGCCATTTGTAAACGCTATAACTTTCACGTAAACCAATTAATTTACACGTATTGGGATTTTATTTTGTAATGACACGGAGCAGAATACATTTTGGCCTAAATTTATGACGAAATTTGATTTTTTAATTTTTTTTTACTGGACACGTTTAATAGAAAAAAGTCAAAAATACTGTTTTTTTTTTTCTCAAATTTGTCATTTTTTTTGCTTATAGCGCAAAAAAAAAAAAAAACAACCACAGGCGATAAAATACCACCAAAAGAAATCACAATTTGGGGAAAAAAAGGACTTAAATTTCATTGGGTGCAGTGTTGCATGACCACACAATTTTCAGTTAAAGTAACGCAGCGCAGTAATGCAAAATTGGCCTGGTATACAGGTGAAACTCGAAAAATTTGAATTTCGTGCAAAAGTTCATTTATTTCAGTAATGCAACTTAAAAGGTGAAACTAATATATGAGATAGACTCATTACATGCAAAGCAAGATAGTTCAAGCCGTGATTTGTCATAATTGTGGTGATTATGGCTTACAGCTCATGAAAACCCCAAATCCATAATCTCAGAAAATTAGAATATTACATGCAATCAATAAAACAAGGATTGTACATAGAACAATATCGGACCTCTGAAAAGTATAAGCAAGCATATGTACTCAGTACTTGGTTTGGGCCCCTTTTGCAGCAATTACTGCCTCAATGCGGTGTGGCATGGAAGCTATCAGCCTGTGGCACTGCTGAGGTGTTATGGAAGACCAGGATGCTTCAATAGCGGCCTTCAGCTCTTCTGCATTGTTTGGTCTCATGTCTCTCATCTTTCTCTTGGCAATGCTCTATAGATTCTCTATGGGGTTCAGGTCAGGCGAGTTTGCTGGCCAATCAAGCACAGTAATCCCACGGTCATTGAACCAGGTTTTGGTGCTTTTGGCAGTGTGGGCAGGTGCCAAGTCCTGCTGGAAAATGAAGTCGGCATCCCCATAAAGCTCGTCTGTGGAAGGAAGCATGAAGTACTGCTCCAAAATCTCCTGGTAGATGGCTGCATTGACCCTGGACTTAATGAAGCACAGTGGACCAACACCAGCAGATGACATGGCTCCCCAAATCAACACAGACTGTGGAAACTTCACACTGGACTTCAAGCATCTTGCAGTGTGTGCCTCTCCATTCTTCCTCCATACTCTGGGTCCTTGGTTTCCAAATGAGATACAAAAGTTGCTCTCATCAGAAGAGAGGACTTTGGACCACTGAGCAACAGACCAGGACTGTTTTTCTTTAGCCCAGGTAAGACGCTTCAGACATTGTTTGTTGTTCAGGAGTGGCTTGACAAGAGGAATACAACATTTGAAGCCCATGTCCAGGATCCGTCTGTGTGTGGTGGCTCTTGATGCACTGACTCCAGCCTCAGTCCACTCCTTGTGAAAGTCCCCAACACTTTTGAATGGCCTTTTCCTCCTGATAGGGGGGGGGGGGGGGGGGGGGGGGGGGGGGGGGGGGGGGGGTTTTCAATCCTTTCCAGGCTACGGTCATCCCTGCTGCTTGTGCACCTTTTTCTTCCACACTTTTCCCTTCCACATAACTTTCTATTAATGTGCTTTGATGCAGCACTTTGGGAACATCCAACTTCTTTTGCAATTACCTTTTGAGGCTTTCCCTCTTATGGAGGGTGTCAATGATGGTTTTCTGCACAACTGTCAGGTCAGCAGTCTTTCCCATGATTGTGATTCCTACTGAACCAGACTGAGAGACCATTTAAAGGCTCAGGAACCCTTTGCAGGTGTTATGGCTTAATTATCTGATTAGAGTGGGACACTTTGAGCCGAGAATATTGCACCTTTTCACAATATTCTCATTTTCTGAGATTGTGGATTTGGGTTTTTCAAGAGCTGTAAGCCATAATCACAATTATGACAAATCACGGCTTGAACTATCTTGCTTTGCATGTAATGAGTCTATCTCATATATTAGTTTCACCTTTTAAGTTGCATTACTGAAATAAATGAACTTTTGCACGATATTCTAATTTTTCGAGTTTCACCTGTATATAAAAATATATTTTGAAATATATTGAATATGGCCACAATTTTAGTATTTCAAATATATGTCAATATATTTGGTAAGAATATTTTTAAAATATATTTTTCTTCCATATAGGATATTACACTTGTTAGGCACACAGTTAACTCCTTGATTGTCCTTGATGTTAACACATTTCCAGCCAGTGTTATTAGTACAGTGACAGTGTACTGTATCAGCACTGATCACTGTATTAATCTCACTAGTGACATCAATGTCAGTATCCCTCCCAGCCAGCGTCAGTTAGTGCCAGATTGCCCGCCACACTATCACAGTCCTACTATAAGTCGCTGATCACCACCAGTTTCAGTATAGTGTCTTAGCAATGTAAATTCCAGTATATATATCATAGTTGTATACGCTATAACTTTCACACAAATCAATTAATATACACTTATTGGGATTTTTTAACCATTGAAATGTAGCAGGATATATTTTGGCCTAAATTTATGAAGAAATGTGATTTTTTTATTTTTTTTATTGGATATATTTTATAGCAGAAAGTAGAAAATATTCCAAAATGTTTGGTCTTTTTTTTATTCTTAACCTCAGAAACTACTAAGCAACTTATTCACTCCCTTGTTATATCTCGCTTTGACTATTGTAACTCCCTCCTCATTGGCAGACCTCATCGCAGGCTATCCCCTCTTCAGTCTATCATGAATGCTGCTGCCAGACTCATCCACCTTACTAACCGTTCTGTATCTGCCACCCCTTTCTGCCAATCCCTCCACTGGCCTCCACTCAGTGTCCTCCATCACTCTCTGCCTCCTCCACTCAGTGTCCTCCACCCCTCTCTGCCAATGTCCACTGGCAATCCCTCCACCCCTGTCTGGCAATCCCTCCACTCCACTCAGCGTCCTCCATCCATCTCTGCCAATCCCTCCACTGGCCTCCACTTCGTGTCCTCCACCCCTGTCTGGCAATCCCTCCACTGGTCTCCACTCAGCGTCCTCAACCCCTCTTTGCCAATCCCTCCACTGGCTTCCCATTGCCCAACGGATAAAATTCAAAACATTACCAATAACATATAAAGCCATTTATAACTCCGCCCCCAATGACATCACCAAGCTTGTCTCCAAATATCAAACCAAACCATCCTCTCTGCTCCTCGCACGACCTCCTTCTCTCTAGCTCTTTTGTCTCCTCCTCTCATGCTCCTCTCCAGGACTTCTCCAGAGCCTCCCCCCCATCCTCTGGAACTCTCTACCCCAATTTGTCAGACTATCGCCTACTCTGCTCACATTTAGGCGATCTCTGAAAACCTCTCTCTTCTGGGAAGCCTATCCTGCCCTCAGCTAATAATGGAATCTTCTACTCCTCCTACCAGTCCATCCCCCACAGTTTTTACCTTTTGTACCACCAGCCCTCCCTTAGATTGTAAGCTCCAAGGATCAGGGCCCTCCTAACCCTCTTGTATTGAACTGTATTGTTGCTGTATTGTCTCCCTGTATGTAAAGCTCTGAGAAAACTGTTGGCGCTATATAAATCTTCTATAATAATAATAATAATTTATAGAATAAAAAATAAAAAACCCAGCGGTGATCAAATACCACCAAAAGAAAGCTCTGTTTGTGTAAAAAAATATGTTATACATTTCATTTTGGTACAATGCTGCATGACTGAGCAACTGCCAGTTAAAGTAGCGCAGTGCTGAATAACAAAATAAAATGGCCTGGTCTTGGTGGGGGTAAAATCTCTCCGGAGGTCAAGTCGTTAATTACAGAAATGTTTTTTCACTTCATATTTTACGCAGATGGACAACTCCGAAGGTATAACATGGGAAGGGTTACTGTAATCTCAAATTACGGTAAAACGGAAGACGATAGCTCATCCGATTCTTCAGAAGAGAACCCCAGCACCCCAGATCGTCGCTCAAGACCTCAGAGAGCAAAACGATCGTCTAGACCCACCAAACGGAAGGGTCGTATTTCTGTTTCTTCACCTCCCACCACCCATCAAGCAGCTGCTACAGAGGGGGAAAAGTTTTCTTGTGCTGAATGCGGCAAAAGTTTCAATCAGAAAGCTCACCTTGCTTCACACCAGAGGTCTCACGTAGCAAAGGAAGCCCACTCTTGTTCGGAGTGTGGTCAGTGCTTTTCTTCTAAAAAGGTTCTCATCGAACATCAGAAAAGTCACGACGGAATGAAGCCGCTTTCATGTTCCGAGTGCGGGAAAGGTTTTACTCGGAAATATTCTCTTATGACGCACAGAAGAGTTCACACGGGAGAGAAGCCATATTCATGTTCACAGTGCGGGAAATGTTTCGCCCTGTTGACCACTCTTATTAGACACGAGCGAACCCACTCTGGAGAGAAGCCATTTTCATGTCCCGATTGCGGGAAATGCTTTAGACAGAAATCAGATGCCGTGATACACCAGAGAATTCACTCTGGCGTGAAGCCATTTTCATGTTCCGAGTGCGGAAAATGTTTTGCCTGTAAGGGAGCTCTGATCTCGCATCAACGCGCACACAGGGGCGAGGGGCCCTATTCATGTGCCGAATGCGGGAAATGCTTTTCCATCAGCACTCATCTTCGCTATCACGTGCAGACTCACATTGATGAAAAGCAATTTCCCATTTCCGAAAGCGGGGCGTCCTTACCGGAGAGGGAGAATCGGATTTTACAACAAGGAATAAAGCCGTTTTCTTGCCCCGAATGTGGGAAGAGTTTTCCGCACCAAGGCCGGCTTACTAAGCACCGGAGATGTCACACGGGAGAAAAGCCGTTTTCCCTGCCGGGAATGCAGTAAATGTTTTTCTCAAAAAAGCGATCTCATTAGACACCAGAGATGTCACACCGGAGAGAAGCCGTTTGCCTGCACGGTGTGTGGGAGATGTTTTTCCACCACACAAAATCTAACTTCACACCTGAGAACTCACACCGGAGAGAAGCCATATTCATGTTCGGAATGTGGGATTTCTTTTACCTGGAAAAGATCTCTGATCAGACATCAACGTGTACATGCGGGAGAGATGTCGTAGTCCTGTTAGGAGTTCAGAAAAAAAAGTTTTGTCTGAGATCTTACCTATCAGGAGAAGACGTGTGTTATTGGCAACTTACCTGGGCTGGAACGCCAAAGGTTGAAGGTGTCACTGATTAGATTGAGTCGATGCTGAACCAGCTATGCTTCCATTGCCATTGCATTAAAATTCAATAAAGATCATTATTATCTTACATCTGTATGTGTGTTTACTTTATATTTCTTACTGACAGTATATTGGAGAACCTCGCTGGCTTGAAATTTCTTGAATCCCATCACATCTATTACTAGTGGTGCGCCAAAAATGAAAATTCTGGTACCGAAACCGAAAATTCAGGATGCACTTGGCTGAAAACCAAAACCAAAATGGACAGTTTTTAAAAAAATATATATATTTTTAACGCAATTTTTTTTTTTGTGGGAAAAAAAATACACTTTAACAACTTCCCGTCCAGCCCATGTACATAAACGGCCAGATGGGAGCAATGCAGGAGCGGGTCGCCGTTTATAAACAGCCCCCGCATTCACTGCCTGTGCGCGCTTCCTGAGAGCACTGTACGGGGCCTCTGAGTGAGGTCCCGAGTCATGTGATCACTGATTGGCCAATCAGTGATCACATGAATAGTAGTAAGCAAGTTGTCACTTTCTGAAATCATTTCTTACTATGTACAAAATCTGAATGATCACAGAGGTCACATGGTACAGGGCTATTCACAACAGCTTTGTACCATGTGACAAGCTGTGACCAATCACAGCTCTCACAGTATTTCTCTTGTTCAAAATTTTTATTAGGTTACAAATAAGTAGTACATACAGTAGGATACAGCAAACGGTACCATATATATGCGGCATAAGTAAGTATGAGGCCCAGGGCCTTTGAGCATCTATATGGAAGCTCTCACAGTATTTCTCAATGGCTGCAAGAATGCAGCCAGAGAGAAGGAGAAATGATTGCTTTTACAGCCTTTATGGGTGTAAAAGCTGTCAGTGTAAAAAAAGACTACTGTTAGGGTGACAGTAGGTTAAAAAAAATAATAATATAAAAAAAATTAAAAATGTAAAAACTTTTGAAAAATTATAATTTTTGGTTATAAACTAATTTGAGTTATTAAAATAGGTAGGGGATGTGAGCGCACTAAAAAGTTGCAAAAGCAGCTATGCACAAAGGTAATCAAAATAAACCTTGATAGAAACAATATAAAATGGTGCAGCGATAAAAGCTCAATCATATAAATCTGATAAATAAATATATCCAAGTAAAAGTTCATAAATTGGTAAACAGTTCGAAAGTGACTCTAGTGCTCTTTAGGTGCCTGCTTTCTTGGTAAACCGGTGTCTGTGCAGTAGTTGTATAAGAAATGTGCACTCACCGGACGTGCAAAAAAAATACGCACTCACCGGACTCGCAAATAAAATGCACCTGTAAATATAACTCCAGAAGTCATCAGGGCAAGCCAGGTAATACGGTAACTGCCCTCTAAGGGGTGGATGGTCATGAAAGGATACTGGGGCTTTCAATGGTGATCCACATCAACCAGAGTTCCCCTTAAGGGGTTAAGCGGGTGCTGCTCCCTGGATAAGAGGTTCCCTCTCTGGATATTAGGATGGATCTTGTCCTATGGCAGGGTGTCTGGAAATTAAAAACTCCCCCAATTTATGAACTTTTACTTGGATATATGTATTTATTTATCAGATTTATATGATTGACCTGTTAGCGCTGCACCACTTTTATATAATTTGGGGTTTGTTTTTTTTTTACTAAAAAGTTAGCTGAATACATTTTGGCCAAGATTTATGAAGAAAGATTATTTGCAAAATTTTATAAGAAAAACTTTTTTTTTTTCAAAATGTTTGGACTTTTTCATTTATATAGGAAAAAAATAAAAGTGAATAAATACCACCAAATTAAAGTTTTATCGGTCTCAAAAAAATGCTAAAAAAAATTTACATTGTTGCATGACCGCGCAATTGTCATCCAAAGTGTGATAGCGCTGAAAGCTGAAAATTGGCCTGGACAGGAAGGGGGTGAAAGTGTCCAGACTTGAAGTGGTTAATGAGCTTTACTAAACACAAATACTGTACATACAAACTACTTACAATTGTAATACAACAATACAAGACATGCAGAGAACTACAAATATCCATAAACACCAATGCACACGCTGTTTGACCTTTCTGGCTAATGCCCATTGACAATAGTCTGTATGAGATAAGGATACACTAAAAAGTTACTTAACCTCTTCACGCCGGCCGCACGCAAAGGCCGGCCACACATTAACCCCTTCACGCCGGCGCCTCCCAGCCCTTTAGAGGTTCCAGATGCCGGGAGGTGGGGCGGGGTTTAGGGACATGTGACTGCCGTGATGCAGCGTCACGGCGGTCACATGATCGGGAAAGGTCCCGATCGAAAGAGGAGATTGGGACCTTTCCGTGAGTACCGGACATGTGTGCTGGGAGCGCGCAGGGCGAGTGCTCTCGGCACATATGTCCTTTGTTGCATATGCAAATGTGCGGCCACTCGGCGTCTAGGCCCAGACACCGGGAGGAGTGAAGAGGTTAAGAAAAACGTGCTGAGAGCATGCACCCTGCCCGCTCCCAGCACACATGTCCGGTACTCACGGAAAGGTCCCGATCTCCTCTTTCGTTCGGGACCTTTCCCGATCATGTGATGGCGAATCACGGCGGTCACATGACCCTAAAACCCCGCCTCCCGGGTTCTGAAACCCTTAAAGGCCGGGAGGCGCCGGCGCCATGGGGTTGACTTGGGTTATAGTTCATAATTTTCATAACAGGACTCCGGGTTCTAACTCAAGCTATCTCAGGAAACTGGGTGTTACCATAGTGCAGATTTAGTGTCATCCCAAGGTGCAGTTCCTTCTTGGATCTTGTCAAGTCTCCTCTGGCACAAACGTTCCTTGGTGATATGGAGCACCCCCAGTTGTTTCTCTCTTTCTCATTCTTATCCTAGTTTATTCTATTTGCTAACATTGAAAAACCTCTGATTGGTAAACCGTAAAATCAGATCTTTATCATGATTGGATGTAACTCAAAGCCCCCTTTGATGTGATGACTATCCAATATTATTTACCTTCTCTTGTCGCTATTCAGAGTCATGACATCCGTAGCAAGTGTATGTTGGTAAGTCTTTCATCACACATGGACATTTGGACAAACAGTCAACAAACTAAGCATACCAAAGTCATATCCCCCTGAAATATCATGACCTATTAACCTATTCAGCTGCTCCCTGAAGAAGAGGAGGTAATCCCTAATATAATGCGTATCGTTTGTCTTTAGAATACTAATGAACACACCAACAGGAAAGATCAGTTCTTTTGAGAAACAGAAGACAATCTTGTTACAGTAATGTCTGGAAAAACAGATTGAATATATAAGCCTGAAAAATCATGGAACCTAGATTGTAATATATATATATTCATACTCTGCCAATCCCTCCACTGGCTTCCAATTGCCCAACGGATAAAATTCAAATCGCTAACACTGACGTATAGAGCCGTTCATAACACTGCCCCTAATTACATCACCGACCTTGTCTCTAAATACCACCCAAACCGTACTCTCCGCTCCTTGCAAGACCTCCTACTCTCTAGCTCCCTTGTCTCCTCCTACCATGCCCGTCTCCAGGATTTCTCAAGGGCTTCACCCATCCTCTGGAACTCCCTACCCCAATCTATCAGGCTATCGCCTACTCTGCTCACTTTTAGGCGCACTCTGATAACCTATCTCTTTAGGAAAGCCTACCCCGACCCCAGCTAATACTGGAATCCTCTACTCTTCCTACCACTCCATCCCCCACAGCTAATTACCTCTTGTACCACTATTCCCTCCCTCCTAGATTGTAAGCTCCAAGGAGCAGGGCCCTCTAATCCCTCTTGTATTGAACTGTATTGTTACTGTACTGTCTCCCTCCATAATGTAAAGCGCTGAGCAAACTGTTGGCTCTATATAAGTCCTGTATAATAATAATAATAGTATAGCAGACATAACACATGGGCATAGTGACCAGGAGAGAGTGCACTGAGGGTGGAGCTTCCATTATGGCCACTCCAACCTCGTCCATCATATGGACACACCAACCTTAATGCATCCGGCATGGACACGCCAACCTCAGTGCATCCGGCATGGAATGGATACGCCAACCTCAGTGCATCCAAAATGGACACGCCAACCTCAGTGCGTTCAGCATGGACACTCCAGCCTCAGTGCATCCAGCATGGACATTGCAACCTCAATGCATCCAGCATGGACACGGCAACCTCAATGCATCCAGCATGGATATGGCAACCTTAATGCATCCAGCATGGACACTCCAGCCTCAGTGCATCCAGTATGGACACTCCAACTTCAATGCATCCAGCATGGACACTCAACCTCAGTGCATCCAGCATGGACACACCAATCTCAGTGCATCCAGCATGCACATGCTGTCACGTACCTGATAGAAGTCTGAATTGACGAGGCCAGCCTCTCTTTTATCTCCAAAGGCCCCACTGAAGGTGGAACAGATGGTGACAAGGTACAGGAGAAACACGAGTGCCTGCGGATATTGATTGTAGAACTTGCAGCTGGTGGTGTAAATCAAGCAGGGCATCCAGTCAGGAACAGAGGAGATGCTGGGAACAGCCAGCTGAGGTTAAGGAAGCACTCCACTGGAACTGCAAGATCTGGGTACGTGGCTTGCCAGATCTTCTGATAAGTGTGAGGCTGGAACACACCATGACAACCGGAGCTGATATAATGGATAGCCAAGGCAAGCACTCAGCAGGACTGTAGAGCCAAACTGGAGCCGGAAGAGTAGTCAGAGTAATAGCCAGGGTCAGCAACGAGCAGGAGATGAGGTACTGGAACATCAGACAGGGATGAGGTCAGGAGGAAGCCAGGA